ATGGCTTGCAAGCTACTGCTTGCTAAGGCTGTTCGTTAGGCCGTCCTAACAGTTCGAACCTACCACGAGGCTTGTGGTAGGGTAGGAATAGTTCATCCACGGATATGACATAACCCGGAGAAAAACTTGCTGAGGGCATTTACTTCGGTTTCTGTCAGTTTTTAACTGCAAAAGTGTCTGCTATTGGATACTTTCAGCTTTTCTGCTAGTAGATGGACCTCTGGCCGTATTTCTGTTACTGTAAGATTTCTGACCAAAACCTGTTACTAGGTCTTGAGAAGTCTAGATCCCGGCTGTTGAGAGACAAGCGACCGTACCCAGTTAGTAGGTAAGCAAAACACGAGAGAATAAACCAAAAGTATCTCTTTAATTCTGTGCAAATGTAGACAAAAAGACGCACGCTGTTACTTTCTAAGCACAAGATAACAGCGGCTTTCGTTTGCAAGAGAGGTAAAACGCAATGATAAGAAGAATGCGGATTCAGGTAGGGCGCGAGAGGTATAAGAAATATACATGATTGGATAGAATGAGGTAATCGGCTATTTTCTTCCGCTTTCACATACATGGGCGAGTATTCAGCAGGAACGTTGATGGCGTCTGTGACTAAGTCGTAGAGGTGGAAATTATATTGGCGTTCTCTAGGACACGTATCGCATCGTCGAGCGGGCCCGAGGACGGCCTAGTTGACCACACAACCGGAACAGGACCCAGATCAATTTCACCAAAGAAGAACGTGAAAAACAGATAGAGGAAAATAGTTAAGGAGGTAAGGCCAATGAGACCGATCATGAGCATGATCTTGACTGGTCGTTTTTGCTTCAGTGCATCAACACCAAGTTGAGCAATAGCAGGCTGATCGTGCGCCTCCTTTTGCTGCTCAGCGGTCCAGTTGGCGTCGTGGATCTCGATCACGTCGCCTGCCGAATGAATTCCCTCCTCATCATCGGCGCTGTCATTATCGTGCGATGGAGGATAACAAAAGGCACAACAGCACGCAGATGGGTCCATATTCTCGGGACAAGGTGTGGCCGTGAGGCCGCAGATCCACTCACAGACATGAGCCGCGACTTGGCGTTTTGAGGGTCTCTGGTGACAGTCTACTTCACCATCGCGACCGGCACCGCTCGCTTTTGAAGACGTAAACCCGATTTTAGGGATGGAAACTAGAGTGGGTTGGAAGGCGAATATGCACTGATTATTAAATATACGGTCAAATAAATATGGAAGACAATGCATTTGCATTATAAAGCCAAGCAGCAGTGAACAAATGATAAAACGTAACAAAGTCCACGGTCCTTGTGTCAATAGAATGAATCAAAAGCCGGAATTTCCACGGCAATAGACACGATACCATTTTGAAGAAACAAAATTATCTTCTGAAATTCAACAGTTCGGCCTTGCACACATGTATGTAATACTAAGACAAGTATCCAACAGTTCCGTAGTCAGTTCTGTGAAACCTTGGCAGGGAGCTTAGAAATCACCCAGTCAAAGCAGTTTAGCCAGAAGTAGATATGGAATATAATCCAACCCGGAAATGTAGACGGCTTAACTTGAAAGGAATTCCGGCAGTCTCCCTTCGAAGAAGAACTAAGTGCAACACTGTTCTATTTTACATTTAACGTCGTCGGAGTGA